CACGGAGTGGACAAGGGTTGTGACCGCCAAGCCTTGTCCCCAGGGCGAGGCCTCAGCACCCAGGGCTCCAGGTCTCTGGGCCCGCCCAGCCCTGTGCGGAGGAGGAGATGGAGGCCCAGCCACGGAGGCTGGTAAGCTTCTCCGTGTGGTCCTCACCCGGCAGCTCCGCCTCCCACGGTGGCTTCATCGACCTGAGACAGGAACAGGCCCCAGTTCCTGACTGAGACCTGGGAAGCACAGAGCCACCTCGCAGGCTGCAGGTACACTGGTGCCCAAGATCCTCGGCACTGCCCTGCGGTTCACCAGGAATGTGCCAGGCTCAGGGGCCCAGGGCCAGCGCTGTCTGCTCCTGACGCCCGTGCCGGTTGTCTTCACGCGACATGTGTTGTCTGCGTGCACATGTGTGAAACCCGGAAGACAAGCAGATGAGACCCGCCTGCCAAAATATTTGCCACCACACAGACAGGGAGTCTCGTTTGACATATGGCTCTCTGCGCACAGCCCCGGCAAGCAGGCAGCCGTGAGAGGGTGAGGTCTGCTGGAAGGCCGGAGCGGGGCGCGCCTGCAGCAGGCTCCCCAGACAAGGGGGCCCCCCGCCAGGCTCCTGGGATGCCCGGCCCTGCACAGGAGGGTCGCTGGTGCCTCTGTGGGCCTTGTTCTCCACCATGAGGTCTGTGTACCCAAGTGCCTGGCGCCCGGGCTGTGGAACACCAGATCCCGTGTTCACAGGGACCCGGCACTGTGCTGTCCCAAGAGCACAACAACCAAAGCCCTGAGGACATCAGAGCACGGAGTCGAGCGGTCACATCCCACCAAGCACCTGGAATGGCCCTGGAGGAGGCACCATCTGAACAGGGCACAGGAGTGTGGGAACAGAGCAGGAGCACGGAGCACAGGCAGAGGTGGGGAGAGTGTCACCGGGACCCCAGAAGGCTCTCCAACTGCCACCTGCGGGATCGTGCCGTCTTCTTGTGGCTCACAGTGGAAGGTCATTCGGCCGTGGCTCCCAGGCTGCTCGCTGGGCCTGCTGACCTCCTTGTCCAGGCTTCTGGGCCCCACGGGCAGCCCTGACCCAGCTGTGCGGAGTGTCCCTGACTCTGCCTCAGCCAGCCCCACCCCGGGCTCTGGACTCGCCACCAGGAGCCTTGAGGCCTCTCCCCTCGGCCATCTCAGCAGCTTGACAGCCACCCGGAGTCTGGAGTTTAGGCAGAGACAGGATGTCTGCCCAGCCTTGAAGTGTCTGCCCCTCCCTCAATGGCAGTCACAAAGGGAACCATGGGAGCTGCACACTTGGCCATGGGAGGTCCCTGTCACCTGAGGGTGCTCTCTGCGGGGTCCTCACTCCCTGGCCCCTCCCGGCAGCGCACACCCTCAACCTGCTCACAGGACACCGGGACGTGCCAGGGCGTGTGGTGTCCAGGCTCAGGCATAGGGGGCCAGGGCTTGGCCACAGGGCGGCTGGGACGCCCCTCCCTCTGCGGGCCCTGCTTCACCTCCTGTCCTGGGTGTGTGGCCCCCACCCTCTGGGCCCCGCTTCAGTGCGGCAGCGTGAGCCCTGGGGGCTGGTCAGCCTCTTGGTTCCTTGATGTGTGCCGCGGCCTCTGTGGCTGGGTAGCCCTTGCCTGGCCCCTCTGCTCGCTCCTGCAGCCCTGTCCCACCCCAGCCCCCCTGGAACTGCTCTCCCCCCACCCGCCATGCCGGCCTGTCTGGGTCCCCTTCACTATCCCTGGGCCCCCAAGGTGTCACGCGTGTTGGTGAGTGCAGCTGCCCAGGTGACTGGACCGCGAGGGCCAGGGCTGGGCAAGGGTGTGGCTCTGCACGCTGAGGCCCAGGAGGCCTGCCGGCCCTCCAGGAGGCTCACGCCCCGGGGGTCCGTGGGCAGTCAGTGGCTCGGGAAGCACAGGTATGGACTGGGAAAAGCCAGGGTCCTGCTGGACTGGCCATTTCCTGCTTGTCCAGAGCGTGGGACCTGGTGCTCTTAATCACTCCGTGCGCCCAGCCCCCAGGGTTTTGATTATTAGCTGCTGAGGGGGACTTCCCGAGGAGAGTTTACCGCCTGAGGGAGTCCACACTAGGAAGGGCCCACCCAGCAAGACGCGTGAAATACAGCTCTCCCAGAAACATGGGCAAAGAAAAAAGCCGTCAAGGAGGCTGGCAGGACATAAAGCGCTAGGGTGAGGGTGAGGGTGAGGGAGGCAGGGGCCAGCTTAGGTGGCAGTGGAGGCCAGACCCCCAGCGCCTGCGTCAAG